GAATGCCACTAAGGTCCGGTGCTTTTGAGTCAATTCTGACTCACGGCGGCCATGTGGGGCCGGACAGACAGCCCCTTAGGGGGCTCTCGGCTGCCACTTTGATGGGAGCGGACGGCCAAGCCTTTTCCGTGTCCAGAACCGCTGGTGGGTTGGAGCCATGCACTTTACAGGTAGCGGCCAAGTGCTTAACGGTGTGTGCCATTGCGGCCCTTGAAAAAACCCGGTAAGTGGTTCAGTCCTAATATCAAGGGACACATTATTGCTGGCGCCAGGCAGATCGTGGCTGAAAGCAGAGACCACCAGAGTGATGTCACGTGTGCTGCACGGACTCTACCAAGGCATTCGACTGTGGGCGTCCTAACCAAGGCTAGAGAAGAAGGGGTTCCAGGAGGCTTCCTGTGCTCTCCCGGAACTTGCACACAGATCAAGAGGCAGCTGTGGGAACAGAACGAGTACCTACCCTACCGCATGTTTAAAATCAGGACAGGTGTGCGTCAGGGCCGTGTCCTCTCCCCTTCCCAGTCATCAGAGAAGCTGGATCATGTGAGTGATTATATGACGATGTTGCAAATACCTGTGACTCCCCCCCGATTTATTTAGTGAAAATGAAATGCAAGGACCTCCCATCCACCATGGTTCAACTTTCAGGGAACAGTCACACGGGGACACACACCCTCCGTAGAAGAGCCCAGCAGACAGGCTCACACGGGCCGTGCTGGCCCCGGGATAAGGCTCAGAAGCAAGAAGCGTGAGACCAGAGGAGACGGGACAGGGAACTGGGTGGAAGGGGCAGAGTGCGCGTCTCACTGTGGGCAGTGCAGTCACGGCCACGCATCCAGGGGCGTGGGAGCTGTTGAATGGTAAGCCCTTGAGTGCTATAAACCATCTGCTCCTCACGGACCACGATCTTCACTCCCGAGCCGAGAGTCCATGAGTGTGCATGGAACCATTCTTTCGATCCAAACTCCTTGAGATAAAAGGATTCATGTTCTTCGATGCTACTGAGTGGATTCCTACTCTCAGGTGGACAGAGCGGTGTTGTCTTGCAGGGTTTTCTGGACTGTCATCTTCAAGGGCGTAGATGGCTAGATCCTCCCTCGAAGCCTCTGGATGGGTTGGCACCGCTAACACGGTTCGGCTGGCAGCTGAATGCCGAGCCACTGCACCACCAGAGACCACCAAATAGAGATGTGCAGGAGACTCGTGACCAGGAAAACCACAGGAGGCTGCTATGAGCCCAAACGATGAACAATGAGGCGTCCATCTCCTTGTGGGAGTCTCCCTTTGACACATGTGCACACCTCTGCCCACTGTGGCACTCACACAGCAACAGAACAGGTACACAATGTGGTGCATTGCACACAAGGGACAGCGAGGAGCCCGTGCAACATTGTAACATGACGGATCTGAGGGGCAGACTGCTATATACATTAAGCCCATCCCAGGAGGGCAAACTTGGTGTGATCCGATGTCCTTTGACGGCAAGACTAGATGCACAGGCCCATGCTCATTGGTGGTTCCTGGGAGAAGACAGTAGGGGTCACATTCCTGGTGTTGTTGTTGCCAAGTGCCATCCAGTCAGGGACAACGGCCTCAGAGGGACTCCAGGGGTAACAGGAGGACACTGGCCGGTCCTCGCCATCCTCACCATCACTGCCATGTCGGGGTCCACTGTGGGCGCCACTTGCCAATCATCTCCTCGACAGGCTTCCTCTTTCTTTGCTGCCCCCCCCGCCCCCCCAGCACAAAGCCCTTGTCAGGGGCTGAGCCCTTCTGATAACACGTCTAAAGCACCGGAGGTGAAGTCTTGCCCTTCTTGCTTCTAAAAGGAGCATTCTGGCTGGATACCTTGCAAGGCAGGTGTCTGTTCTTCTAACCCTCCGTTCTTTCGAGCTTCGTCACCAGCGCCCTCATTCAAACGGATCTCACTTTGTGTCACGTTCCTTATCCCTTGTCCAGCTGACAGCGCCATGGCCTGGGTCAGGCGCACCCAGTCCTGAGAGGAACCTCATCCTTGCTCTTCCACACTTTGGAGCCCTCTAGGGTCAACAGGAGTCAGAGATCGTATCCAGCAGTTTTACCCAAAGCAACCCATCGCAGGCTCGCTCATGACCGCTGCTTCCAGTGAGCACTGACCGTGGAGCCAAGCAGAATGACCTCCTGGGCAACTTCCAGCACTTTCCTGCTTGTCACGGTGTTGGCTGTTCTCTGGAGTGTAGATTCTTGTTGTCTGGGGATGGGGTGGGAACAACAACACCGATCGTGGGTGTAGTGAGCTGGGCTCCCGAGTGAGCCATGTCACCGAGAGGTGTCAAGAGAAAAGGGTGCAGGTACTCAAGAATTCGACATCTACCATTTGGCAACCTACCATCAGTGACCAAGACAGGGGTAGTGTGAGCACCTATGAACAGCTATGGGCACAGAAGTATATGGGCAGGCACAGGTATATCCTGGTACATATGTGTGGACAAGTACCTGCAAGTACACACGAGCAGAGAAATGTGTGTGCAGACGCATATATTCACAGAAGACAAGGAACACCTGAAATTAAAAAAAAAAGGCAAATGCTGGCACATTGTGAAAAATGTAACTGATGTCAGTGAAACCTTCCATATAGAAATTATCCAACGGGAGCGTAATTTACAGCGCAAACGTCCACCTCACACATGGCATTACTCGTAACACAGACGGGACAACAGCCAAAGGGTTAATGCCGACAGATTATTTGGACCAATGAACAGAATGTAAGCCACTAGGAAAGTTGAGCAGGGACTTGGTGAGATTTAATATATGGTAGCACCTCCCAAATTGGTTAGCAGTTTAGTCATGGAGGAAAGGGCTTAACCCCACCCCACCCCCTGCACCCCACCTCTCTCCTCATACCTGGCTCATATTTAGTGTTTTGATCAATCTTTTTCCCCCTTTGCCACTTGCTTTTAAAAAAACTTAAAAAGCCAAGAGAGCTCTAGGTCTCAAACTGGGTTCTCCAGAGAAGCCAGCCCGGTGGAGTTCGTCTGTGTATGTGCAGCGAGGTTTCTAAGTTCCAAGTGTGTGGTGCACAGGTCAGACCAGAGGCTTTTCCTGACTTGCGCAGCTGAGAACTGATAAACCAGGAGGCCAGACAGCAGGTAGGTGGCTGCAGAGGTAATCGCCTATGGGCAAGGTAGGATGGCAGGCCGCTGATGACTCTCCAGGTCGGCTAGCACTCTGGCAGGCCACTGGCTCAAGTCTGAGGAAATGGAGGTTGGCCAGCCAGGTGTTGGATCTAGATCCAGCAAAGAGCAAATGTTTCCACGGCTTCTGCTTATATGGGAAACAGGCCACCACCACTGGAGACTTCATCACAGGCGAGTCTCGGTGGCCTAGTGGTAACGCATTGGGCTGTAAACTGCGAGATTAGCTGTTCGGAAGCACCAGCAGCTCCTTGGGAGGAAACGAGGCTTTCAACTCCAGTAAGGAGGTACATCCTCAGACACCCACAGGGACTGTTCCACCCCATCCTACAGGGTCCATGAGTCAGAATGGGCTCGATAGCAGGGAGGGTTTTTTGCTGTTTGGGCTTTAATTGCCAAACTAGAGAATGCTGGCCCAGCCCAGTTGACACACATCTTTTTTTAAATATCGTTTTATTAGGGGCTCATACAACTCTGATCACAATCCATACATACATCAATTGTGTAAAGCACATTTGTACATTGCCCTCATCATTCTCAAAACATCCGCTCTCCACCCAAGCCCCTGGCATCGGCTCATTTCTGCTCCTCCCTCATGAACCCTTGATAATTTACAAACTATTATTTTGTCATATCTTGCACTGTCCGACGTCTCCCTTTACCCACTTCTCTGTTGTCTGTCCCCCAGGGAGGAGGTTATATGCAGATCCTTGTAATCGGTTCCCCCTTTCCAACCCACCCTCCCGGTATCGCCACTCTCACCACTGGTCCTGAAGGAATCATTTGTCCTGGATTCCCTGTGTTTCCAGTTCCTATCTGTACCAGTGTACATCCTCTGGTCTATCCAGATTTGTAAGGTAGAATTGGGATCATTATAGTGGTGGAGGGGTTGGAGAGGGGGGGTGTTTGAAAGCATTTAGGAACTAGAGGAAAGTTGTATGTTTCATTGTTACTACACTGCACCCTGACTGGCTCATTTCTTCCCCACAATCCTTCCGTAAGGGGATGTCCAATTGCCTACAGCTGGGCTTTGGGTCTCCACTCTGCACTCCCCCTTATTCACAATGATATGATTTTTGTTCTGATGATGCCTGATACTTGATCCTTTCAACATTTTGTGATTGCACTGGCTGGTGTGCTTCTTCCACCTGTGCACTTTGTTGCTTCTCACCTAGATGGCCACTTGTTTACCTTCAAGCCTTTAAGACCCCAGACGCTGTATCTTTTGATAGCCAGGCACCATCAGCTTTCTTCACCACATTTGCATATGCACCCGACACAAAATCTTAACTATCATAGTCACACCTACGACTGAGGTGTACCTGACCCTCCCCGTGCGTTTCCAATGGCTTCATACCCGTGTGAAAGCTGGAGACTAAAGGAAGACGAGTACAAAAGAGTCGATGCCCTTGCGTTGTGGCATTGCCAAGGAAAGAGTATCGCGCACTCCAGGGACTGCCAGAAGACCGACACACGAGTGGGCTCCTGAGACATGAGGCGGGCGGGACTTCACCTTATGCACTTGGGACAGGTCCTCAGCAGGGGACATGCTGGCAAGTGGATGGTCAGCGAAGAGGAGGATCTTTGATGAGGTGGGCTGACACGGTGGCTGCAACCACTGGACGGAATATAACAGCGGTGGCGCGGACGGTGCAGTGCTCCTCTTGTGCATGGGGTCACGAGGTGTCAGGGGGACTTGAGGACCACCACCACCACCTCCGGGTGTTCCGAATCCCAGGGTGAGGCCAGCTCTCTGCCGGAGACCACCCCTCGGGCAGCAGGCGGTCAGCCGGTCCTCAGACAATGCAAACACAGGAGGCGGCATTCTTTGAGCTACATTGTCTCTTTATTTGGAAAGCACCAGTACACCACAGCCTCGGAAACTTACTGGAATTTTATTTGCCTCAGGCTTATAACTTGCAACCAAAGACATTGTGCAAAGAAAGCAAAGATTAAGTACACTTTAAGGAGGAGACAACACACATTGATAACACAGGAGGTCAGGGGGCACAGGAAGCCATCCGATACACTTTTAGAGATTGCAATATTCAATTGTGTTGTCAACAGAAACATTTTTATCCCCCCACCCCCCAAATCAAGAGCCAAAAAAAAAGAAGAAAAGTCAAAGCAAGGTCGACGTTGACAGGAGACATCAATCGTATATAATTCCGAAAGCGCTTCTTTCTTAGATGGTTGGGCCGAACTAGAACGAAAGATAGGGGTGCAGGGGAATCTAGCGAGTGTCAAGGGCTGCCTATCCGAGCCGCTCACTGTGCCACAGCGTGAAAACAAAAACAAAGACAAACCCACGAAGACCACGGAAGGATACGGCACCGAACAAACAGAAGCTTCGAGAACTGCCTGACGGAAATAAAATCACCAGCGGCTTCACCCGGTTGTCTGTGCCGCAAAACCACACCGGCCCCTGGCTGCGGGCGCCTTCACCAGTCCGCAAACCAGCCCCGGCCCAGAGACAGCCGACCACCCATGGGTTTGCCATCGGAAGCTTTTTGTCCCCCGTGTGTCTGTTTTGTTGGTTCTAATCTTTGAGGCCCGTGTGGTCACAACATGGTACACGTGTTTGTGTGTGTGCGCGCCCATACGCGTTTTCATCTCTCTCGCTCGCTCTCTTTTTCACGCGTGATATCGTGTTTGTCTGGCACTATCCTAAAGCTAGTTTTATAGATGAGGATGGATGGGCTCGAAAGGGTCCGGTGACCGTATGACAAGGTGAACTCACTGGGTCCCAGTGAGGAGAGGAAGGAGGGGTGGGAACTGGGCTCTAAGGAGAAAGCAATCGTCCGCCTGGCCGGCGGTCACTCGTCGTCCGTCCCGCTGGCTTCTGACTGTTCCTGGAACCGAAAGAAGGCAGCGTCACAGTGGGGGAGGGCGTGCCACCGGGAGGCCATGGGGAATCGAAAACGGAGGGAGAGGGGGTGTTCTGCACACAGTTAAGCTGGGGAGGCGGAAATACCTCAGAGACGCTGAAAGGGGAGTTGTGCATGGGGGCTTCCCAAGTGGCTGGCCCACTGCTGGTACAAGGGGTCTACTCACTTCCATCATCAATAGTTTGGGGGTCACTGGTACGGGTTGGGCTGGTTAGTCTATCTCTACGCACAGGGCCTCATCGGACAAAATGGCCCCGGCGTGCTTTCTACGAGCGGGCTGCCAGGGTCTGTTTCTGTCCATGGAGTTGCCGGCCCTTTCCTGCACAGGCCTGGGTCAGAAGGTGAGGGAAGCCACTGATGGCAGTCACCTGGGAGTAACTGTGCCCAGGGCTGTGATTGCCATCCTGCGGTATGTGAAAGGCGTCCTCTGAGAAGCAGAGGACAGGGGATCTCATTACCAGCAAGAGCCAGGAGTGGAGCTTGTCCTCTGGACCCCGAGATCCCTGCCCAGGGAATCTCCTGGATCCCGGAGTCAGCTGTCCCCTCAGAGCAGCAGGGCCAGAAGCCAGAACACGGAGCAGAGTCGTGCACTGCCCAGCTCACAAAAGCCAGTCAAACTTATTGCCACTGAGTCTTGCCGTCGCTGTGAGTTTCTGAGATTGGTAACTCTTTCAGGGAGTAGAAAGCACAATCTTTCTCCCATTAAAGCAAGTAAAACTGAGCGCTTTGGGGCCTGAGGCTGGCTTGTGGAGGGAATGGGTGCCTCCGGGCACTAACTAGGGGGAGCTGGGCTTGCTGACCTCGGAGGTACAGCTGAGTGGTTACTGGCATGGGGAGCCTCTGGGCACCTAATCCAGGGAGTTTGAGAGGAATGCCTGTGGTTTGGGGCTTACGTGAAACTGCGTGCCTCTGGGCATGTGCTCCCTAACTCAGCCCCCACGCTCACTGCCACGGATTGGGACAGGGAAGAATTGCCCGTGAGCTTCCCAGGCTGTGACTCTTAATGAGCGTAGACAGCCTGCTCTCCCTCCCCCAGCGCGGCTGGTGGTCTCACACTGCTGTCCTCGCAGTTAGCAGCCCCACACACCACCGCTAGGCCACACGGGGCACCTTCCTGATGGTTCCTGGATGTCAACTATGAACCGGCCACTGGGAAGCACGTATGAGTGAGTGGGAGGGAAGATAAGGCAGGAACCGTGACTGAGTACCCTTTCCTTTTCCAAGACTATTAAGTAAATTGAAAACAAGACAACAACACCACACAAAGCAATCAGGGATGCCGCCCTGCAGGCTGGGCTCCAGACCACCCAGCCCGAGCGGCTCCCTCCGTCATCGGGACATCCTAACCTGCAGGGCAGGTCCTCTCCTGGGTGGCAGTGAGGGGAGGTCACTCACATTCTCGTCCTGTTCCTCCTCGCTGTCGAAATCGCTCACGACAGGCTTGGCTTTGCCTCGGTTCGGCTTCTTCTTGCCCTTCCCCTTCTCCCTGCCTTTCTCGTCTTTCTTTTTGAGCTTGATCTTCACCTTCACAGATTTTGCTGTCGGGGAACAGAGCAGACAGACAGGCGCCCGCCCGTGAGCAAACCACAGAGACCCCCAGGAGACCCCCGGGTGTCACAGGAGAGCTGTGACGTGGGGCGATTTCAGGGGCTGGCCACCAGGCTGCCCCTGGGTTGGGGGGCAGGAGCCTGGCACGTTCGCTAAGCGTTCACGCTGCCGCCCAGGGACTCCGAGCTCAACAGAAGGGGCAGGTGTGCATGGGGGTGAAAGCCTCGGTCGTCCTTGGGTGCCCTCGAGGCAATGTTGGCTCATAGCGACCTCGTCTGTCCAGTGGCTACTGTGGCACGGTTTCAAACAGGTTAAAAAAAAAAGTAAATCAGAGATGACAGCCTCGGGGCTGTCACGTGGGGGAGATGTCGCACGGGGTAGCTGGGAGATGGAAAGGGCTCTCTGGCCGCCAGCAGCAGCAGTCACCGGTGAGGCAAGCAGCTGGGTCCAGGCCAGCAGAGGCCAGGTCGTCAGCCAGGGACGGGCAGAGCAGCAAGAGGGGCAGACACTTAGGCTCACCCTCAGACTCAGACTCCTCCTCCTCTTCCTCCTCCTCCTCATTACTCTCATCCTCGCTCTCCTCCTCTTTGGCGATTTTCTGCCGGGCGCTCTTAAATACTGACTGCAGGACAATGGAATCCTCATAGATCTGCAGAGTTGGAAGGGGAACAAACAGCAGCTCTTGAAAAGCGGGAAGCTGGGGGCCGTGGCGGCCAGCAGGACACGCGCTGGTCTGTGCACAGCATACAGGCTGCTTGCGCACGGCACACCGGCCAGCACACACGCTGGCCCCCAACCAGAGACGTGGCGCTCTCCTGGGGCCTACTGCACTGGCCATCCGACTCGCCCATTTAAGGCCTACAAGTCAGTGTGCGTTTGTTTTTAAAAACAACTATTTTATTTTGATTAAATCTATCTATCTATATAATTCTATACTATATGCCACATTATAGTAAGTGCATTTATATATTATGTCACATATACATTACATGGAATGGTGACATCTATAGTAACTTTTATATATCTATCAAAAAAGCATGTGCCAATCCCAAATCTTTCCACATGTCCCGTTCAGTGACATGCCGGGCATTCTTCCAGATGCGCGGTCATCGTCACTCTCCTGGTCCGAGTTGTTCCCCTCTATTCACACACACTCACTGTCCACACCAGAGCACTCACTGCTATCAGCCACGTCCACACGCCCGGCAAGAAGGGCCCCGTGGGTTTCCGAGACTGCAACTCTTCCCTGGACCAGAGATTCCCATCGAGCCTTTCGAGAGAGGGCTTGAAACCAAACCCGCTGCCATCGAGTGGACGCCGAGTCACAGGGATGCTGTGGGACAGAGGGACTGCCCCGGGGTCTCCGAGACAGTCCATCTTTATGGGAGGAGGCCGCCTCATGTTTCTCCCGCAGAGCGGCTGGTGGGTTTGAACTAGCAGCCCACTATGCCATCAGGGCTCCTTGTTCCTAGGCAAGGCCAGCACCACTGACCTTGAAGTCCCTCCCTCCACAGAGGACAGAACCATTCTGTGTCACTCCGTTACAGACCCTTAGACTTCTCCAGTGTGCGCAGAGGCATACATGAGCTACTAGAGCCTCAGAGGAAGGGCTGTCTCCTTGCTTTTAAAACAATTAGAGGCAGTGGAGGAGGAGCCCTGGTGGTAAAGTACTTGGCTGCTAATGGGAAGGTCAGCGGTTTGAACCCACCAGCTGCTGCATGGTAGAAAAGATGCGGCTGCCGGCTTCCTTATAGATCACAGCCCTGGAAGCCGTTACAGGGCCGTTCTACCCTGTCTTGGAGACTGGTATGAGTCGGTATAGACTCGGTGGCAATGACCTTGGTTTGCGGGCTCGGTTTAGTTAGAAGTGGTGGGTTTCCTATTTCTACTTTGCTTAGTTTTAAATCACACCAGTTTCAAAGATGAGGCTTCATACCCCCGTAAAGAGTTAGTCTCAGAAACCGACACGGGCAGTCTCCCATCCGGTAAGATCGCTGGAGGACATGCCACTACAAAGTGGAGGGGCAGCGAGCAACAGGAGGGTCCACAGCGGGATGGATGGACACGGTGCCTGCAGTGGTGGGCCCAGGCACAGGCACGACTGTGAGGACGGCGCAGGGCTGGGCAGGGTTCTGTTCTGTTGGGCACAAGTGCACTATGGGTCGGACTCGATGGGCTAGCACCCAGCAGCAATACAGGGTCACTCTACGCCGGAATGGGCTCAAGGACAATGCGTTAGTTTCACAGCCTAGCGGCAAGCCTGCACTCAGCACAGCAGTGAAGAGAATTAGATGCAGAATCCCTACCAAGGCAAAAAGCGGGGCGCTGACTTTTAAGGATGACTTTAAATGCTTTCATGGAAATTCTTCCTCTAGCAAGAAGACCAGGCCTGTGAGAACAGGAGCTAGCCGCAGCCCTGTGACGGAGGAGCTGATGTGAACTGGAAAATGCCAGGCCTTCACTCAGGTCCCTGGGCAGCATGGGCTAGAAGCCGTGTCCCCCTTTCTCCAGCCAGGGCAGGAGCAGTGTTTCCAGGGGCAGAAAAGGAAACACCTTATAGAGCACCCCCAAAAATAAAAGACAGAAAAGGCGAGCCCACTACTGTGGGCTGGCTTCGGGGACCCCATGGCCCTGCAGGGTGTCGGGCTGAGTGTCTCCAGGTGGGTGCTGTTCAAACTAGCCCTCTCTGGCTGGTTAGCAGGGCGTGTCCGCCCGCGCACGGGTCTCAGACCTGGGAGCCCTCCAGGTTGAAGGTCTGAGCGTTGTGGCACAGCAGCATGACGTCCTTCTCCAGGTCCCCCAGGCTGCGATACTTGTGGTTCCGGATCCGCTCCTGGGGGACAAGGACGAGAGCACGCACAGGTCACAGTGGGGGCACGCAGCCAGCTGCAGGCCCATCCCTCCGGCCCAGGCTCCATCCGTGGGTTCCCAGACTGACCTGGCCTGCCACCCCCTTTTCAGGGCAAAGAAAAGAACCTCCCCCCGCCCCCACCTCCAATCCCGGCAATGAAACCCTTTTGCACTATAGCTCGTGATCCAGGGACGAGGGCAGGCATCTGCTTCTGCAGCCCCTCTGGAGCATTCTAGGGCCCCCTCCCCAAGGGGGACATCCTGCACTTTGGGAGACATTGGGATAGAGGAAGGACCAGGTGGCATGAGACCTGGGGGCGGGGGGGACGAAGAGGAGAGAGAGAGAGGGCCATAGCCAGTAAAGCTAGCTCCAACCCTCCAGGTGGGAGGGAGGAGGGGGGAGAGGAAGGGAGTGGAGGGAGAGGCAGAGGGGGAGGAGGGGACCATCTTCAATAACACAGGCCCCAACACAGCAGTGGCCTCTCCCCCTCGCACCTGCAGAGGCACAGGGTACCCGAGCCCTCTAATGACAAACCCTGGGGTGGGTCCCAAGGGGAACCATTTCAGTGGGTTTGCCCCGCACCCCTTCCAACAACAGTTTTATTGATTTGGTTTTTTCTAAATGCCTGTCAATGAAATGCCCACCTTAATTTTTTTGAAATCCACGGGCTTCCGAATCAGCTCGTAGTACTCAGGTAACTCCTTCCGGGAGGGCAGCTGGATGAAGACTTCGCTGAGCTGCCGCCCGGAGCTGGGAGGTGGGCGGAGGGGAGGGGCAGAGAGAGAAGAGCATGCTGTCCAGAACACGCAACAGAGCCGCCGCTGCAGCCACAGGCCCCCCTCCCCACCCCCTACTGCAGACAGACGAACCCTGCCGGAAGTCGGTTGCCAGACCTTTCTTTCTAGGCACCTCTGGGCAGACAGACTCGAGTCCCAGCCTTTAAGCTGGTTATCAGCTGTCGGTACCCCCAGGGGCTCTGCAGACAGACGCGGGGTTCCTTTCAGGTCAAGGGAAACCCCCAACAATGATGCAGGCACTACCTTCAGAATCCCATCGAATTGCCATGTAGGCTTGCCCACATCTGCCACATGCCACAGACCACGCCAGCTGTGCCGCTAGACACGTGACCTGCACCATGGACTGGGCCTTTGCTCCTCCCTCAAAGACGAGGATCATTTAAAAGATACCCTCGGCGGGTATTGTCAAAAGGACATTCTTAAGGGAGTCATACTAGAATCCGGAAAAGGCAACACGGGAGGGAACTTGGCCCTCAAGCACAATACAACCAGTTAGGAGGGGGTCCAGGGCAGTGGGCTAGAATAAAACAATAATTTTTAAAAATGCTCGCCACCCTCGAGGCAATTCCAACGCACAGTGGCCCTATAGGGCAGGACAGAACCGCCCTGTGGGATTTCAGAGACTGTAACTTTTGATGGGAAGAGAAAGCCTTCTATCTATCCCACGGAGCGGATGATGGTTTTGAACTGCTGATCTTGCCATTAGCAGCCAATGGATAACCCAGTAGGCAGTTCTATGCAAACTGCTGACCTGTGAATCGACTCTGATAACACCCGTGGGCAGCTCTGGTGGACTCTACAGGCCTGGCCTGTTTCTTTCTGGTCAGTCCCTCGTGGAGCATTTTGCACGTAGGGAGCCCCCTGCCCAGCAGTCTCCCGTATCTCTTGGTGACAACCTGCTGGAGGAAGGAGCCCTCCTCTCGCCCAGCCCCATCTGGGTATGCATGTGTGGCAGGTGCCCTTTGGGCCAGGGTTCGGCAGTGCTTGGGCGCTCAGCACAGGGACACTGTGGGGATGGGGCATCGGACCGGGACTTCAGCAGTCACCAGCCCTGGGGATGCAGGCATGCACAAGTCAGCGCCGTGGCTCCCATTAGCTTTGGCCTACGCAGACCACCACAGCTGGAGAGGTGGGGGTGTGCGTGTGCATTTTTTTCACACACTAACTCGCTCCCTAGAAGATGCCACACCTCCACTTCCTTTGTCGAGTCAGCAGTGGCAAAAATAAAAATAAGAGAAATAAAACATCATCTTCGATCAGAAGCCACAGCCGGGCGCCTTGCAGAGGAGTGACTGGGGGTGGGGGTAGGAGAGGCCGAGGCAGCGGCTGTTAGAACCGCTGGCCCGGCTGGGTAATTAAAAAATAATCATGGTGACAGGCATCATAACTGAAGCATGCGCACTGGCACGCGCAGTTCCCTAGCAACGAGGGGGTGGGGGCGCACCGAGGCGCAGAGGGCTGCATAAATTAGCCGGCAGCCCTCCGTGCAAGGGGTGGGTGGGCTTTGCTGCTACACTGGGTCACAGCTTCCTTATTTTATTTTATAATACATACGCGGGTCTCATGAATACGAAAAATGGGGGGCGGGGGGGAGTGTAGCCATGGAGGGGAAACATGGGAGGCTCAGAGGGCGGCAGCCGCCTTCCCGGGGAGGTGGGTGCTTCCATTATGGTGAGAAGAACTGGGGTCTGAGCAAGCCTCACCGCCTCCACTCCCCGGCCCCCATCTCCACACTCGTCCCCTCCATAAATTATGCTCCAAAGTACGTGACCGAAGCTATTGTGTTGGCTGTCATCTTGACGCAGGGTTGAAGTTTGGGGACTGGCCTTTCTCCACCTCTGTTCTTGGGCTCATCGGGCGCAGCCACAGTGGAGGATGAACAAGGAGGGGGCAGGGGGCGGGTGTTCTGATGTTTTGACTTCCTGACAATCTGGGTCCTTCAGAACCTGGCATCCAGCAGGGGCAGGGCCCTCCCTCCGAGAGGCTCGGCAACACCTGAGCCTCAGTGACATCTTGACGGTGTCGTGTTTGGCACTGCCAACAGATGGTGGCATTTTTCTGCTAACAGGTCAGCAGCACATCTTGGCTCTGTCCACCTGTGCCGGGCAGACCGCCTCTGCTGCTGTGGGTCCCTCTGGATGCAGCTGGGCAATCCTGCCGGCTGATTGGGATTGCCCCCCACCACCACCCCAGGGCTTTGTAGGCTGCTGCCTCCGTGGTCCTTTTTCCTGCAGAGCCGCCCGTGGATGGGTCTGAACTGACCACCTTTCTGTTAACAGTTGAGTGCTTAACTGCTCGGCCACCTGGGTGTCTTGGACCGTGCTATGGATGGCATCAGGGTGCGTGTGGGACCATAAAGACGGGGGCTGCCATCAGTCTCTGCTTGCCTGGAGCCAGAAAGAGGGCAACCGAGAGCTCAGAGGAGAAGGCTGAACCACCCACCGCGGCCTCTTCTGCCCGGAGACTGGAAGAACTATTGCTGGCTTCCACAACCCGACCCTTCTCACCAGGGCTGCTGCAGCACCTGGGTCCCGGCAGAAAGGGATCAGAACTCACTTCTTCAAAAGTCCACATTGCCTGGGCCGACGGAGACTAAGGGACTCCCCAGACTATGGCCCGAGACCCTCTTTTACGCCTTAGCCAGAAACGACCCCTTTCAGTGAGATAACCAATGGGCTTTTGAAATAATGACCATGACAATGAGTCACGAGGTCCTAAAAGAGAAATACGCCAGAGGAGCCCAAAGGGTCAAAATGCCTCTCTAGCAAAGCCAAGAGGGTCCGGGGGGCAGGGAGACTGCAGGGGTTGCTGTTGGGTGTCACTGGGCCGGTTCTGACCCGTAGCGACCCCGTGCACAACAGACTGAAACACTGCCCGGTCCTGCAGGCCCTCCTCGCGATGGTTCCTACGCCCGAGCCCAGGGTTGCAGCCATGGTGCCAACCCATCTTCGTGAGGGTCTTCCTCTCTTTGGCTGTCCCTCCCCTTTACCAACCAGGATGGCCTTCTGCAGGGACTGGTGTCCGCCGACGTGTCCAAAGCACACAAGACCAAGACTAGCCGTCCCGGCCTCTAAGGGGCCTCTGGCTGTGCTTCTTCCGAGACGGCCGCGTCTGTTCTTTGGGGTCCCAGTGATTTCCGTGTTCTTTGCCAGCACAGGTCAAACGCCACTGAGTCCTCTCAGGTCCTCCCTAGTCCTCTCAGATCCTCCCTAGGCCTCTCGGGTCCACCCTAGTCCTCTCAGGTCCTCCCTAGTCCTCTCAGGTCCTCTCTAGTCCTCTCAGGTCCTCCCTAGTCTTCTCAGGTCCTCCCTAGTCCTCTCAGGTCCTCCCTAGTCCCCTCAGGTCCTCCCTAGTCCCCACAGGTCCTCCCTAGTCCCCACAGGTCCTCCCTAGTCCCCTCAGGTCCTCCCTAGTCCTCTCAGATCCTCCCTAGGCCTCTCAGGTCCTCCCTAGTCCTCTCAGGTCCTCCCTAGTCCTCTCAGGTCCTCCCTAGTCCTCTCAGGTCCTCCCACTTAGTCCGTGTCCATTTTTTCACACAGACGCGAGGCGACTGGATCAGTCTTGGTTAGTGCACCTCAGTCCTCCAAAGTG